TTTTTTTTTTTTGCAAAATGGAGCAACGGCTACGGTAGGGGAAAAAGGACGTCATTGTGACGGCATTGATACGCGGAAGTAGAGCCACACGGCGCATACTTAATGATTGCGTATGAAGCACTGCAAGAAAAATGTGTAAAATAATTTATCAAACAAAAAAATTTGCTAAAATAACCTTTACTTGAAGGATAAAACTACTTAATTAATAATTTACTGTCAGAGAAAAGGGTCTTTGAATTTTATTATCTAAATAGTTGAGAAATATTAATATTTTATTGGCTCTAAGAGCTACAGAAGATAGAGCCCTCGTTGATCTATAAATATTTTTTATACCCTTTCTATATAGTATATATAGTTTTAGTACAGAAGCTTGAAACATAGTAAAGGAGTCATTTCCGGCCCTATAAATCATATATATTCTTGATCAGCATGAACAGCCGAATCGATCTAGCCATGTTTGGGAGAAAACAATTTTTGCGAATTTATTTTCGATATTTTATGACTAAATTTTATATATTGAAATTGTCAAAATTTGACAAAATTTTAATATTCTTTAATTTAAAATCTGATTATGCAAATTTTTTAGCTCTATAAAAACTAGCACAGAACAGTTTTCCGATTTAAAATTAATGCATTTTTGTGTTAGTTATGCATTTTCTAAATTTTGATTTGTCGAAAAAATTAACATGTAAAATCATTGATAAATATCAGCATTATAATTTTACTAAGAAGCTTGTAACGCAGTGAAGGAGTCATTTCCGACCCTTTAAATCATATATATTCTTGATCAGCATGAAAAGCAGAATCGATCTAGCCATGTTTGGGAGGAAGTTATTTTTTAAAATTTATTTTCGATATTTTATGACTAAATTTTATACCTTTAAATTGTCAAAATTTGACAAAATTTTAATATTCTTTAATATAAAAACTGAATATGCAGATTTGTTAACCTTATAAAAACAAGGACAGAACAGCTTTCCGATTTAAAATTAATGGATTTTTGGCTTAGTTACGACCGATTGCATAATATCTAAAGAAAAAAAGATATATATTAAAGAAAAGGTATTTAAAAATGGGACTTTTAATACAATTTTTTGAAAGTGTCCCTCGGTGGGCCTGCAAAATGATGGCAAACATCTAATGAGTTTGTTAACCCAAAAGCGTTCGATTTGCCAGGCATTTAATCTTCCACATACACAAATCGTACTGAAATTGCACTGGAATTTCAGTGAAATTGTAGTGAAATTTCTGCAGAACTTTTCACATCGATTTGTTGATTTTCTTTTTGCGATTTGAATGCGACATTTAGGATGTGTTGGTTCAACAATTTTCGTTGTCATTCGTTTTGGCATCGTTGGAAATATGCTGGGCATGATTGATGATAGGTCTGATTGAATGGGTTTCCTCGTCGTTGTCGTCCTCGTCGTCGAAGTGCCTGATAGATTGTATTTCATGGCATCCAAGCGAAGGACTTGCAGCAGGTGGCAGCAGCAGCGGCGGCGGTTGCCAGGACGCAAGTATCCTTCACTAAGCGGATTTCCAGCCAGAACCCAAAGCAGCAACAAGAGGAGTTTTTGCGTTTTTGCATGTGGTCTGCGTGTGCAGAAACTTTAGTGTGTGTGCGTTTTTTTTCCGGAGCGAAACGAACTTAAGTAGGATTTTTCCATTTCACCCAATTTTTCTTTTCTTTTATTTTATTTTTTAATGCTAAGTGGAAAAGAGAAGCATTTAATCAAGTTTATGTGGAATAAATTATATGTATATATGCTTTCGTTAAAATAATGGCGCTGGCGATGCCATTAGGCTTATTAGAAAAGAGAGCTGGGAAAGAGGAAAAAGATAAAGGAGAAAATTCTACTAAAGAAGTCAATCCGATTAAGATGGATGGATGTGCCCGGAAAAGTGGAGAGCATAAGTACGAAAATTATGAATGAGAAAATAAATGGGGAAAAAGGGTTTCAAACAATTTACAAATCAATGAATTTTAAGTGAGGCGTAAAGGCAAATACAATTATTTTCCTTGAATATTAAACAAGTTTTCTATTAAAATTTGTAATAACTGTTTTCCCTTTTAAACCACAACTCTCAAAGTCAAAAACATTAAATCTCAATTATATGTACATGAATTCTTATCGCATTGCCCACAAAAATGCAATCACAGAAATATGTCTTGTCCACAAATACAAATTCCTATTTTTATTGAAATTCTGTGGGAAAACTCAAGCAAAAGTTATAGTAGTAGTAGAAGCAGCAGATGGAAAATATATATAATTTTGCATATTGTGCGACGTAAATTTCAAAAGAAAAATAAATATGAAAAAATGCAGAATATAACAAAACAGATTCCAACAAAAAAGCCACCCACACAATGTGTGTGTATTCTCATGTAAATAACTGCAAATGGAGTTGTTGAAAAATAGTTGACAATAAAGTTTTCCTTTTTTTTGCTGTTCCTTGGATAAGCAAGTCAAGGTTTGGATTTTTCTTTAATTTTTCCTTTGTCGGTCGATAACATATAGTAGGTTTGTGTGTGGGTGTCCAAGCCCCTTGATTTATGACTCGAAAAATTTGCAAAGCTTGTTGTCAAAAAATATAAAAATACAAAGGGAAGGGACCAAAACGAGGGAATAAAACTTTTATTTTGTGTGCCATTTGGTCATTGTTCACATTTCTGTTGATGTTCATTTTCGTGTGGATTTTGGGTGAACTGTTTAAATTTCTCGCTTTTCTTTGTATTTCTTTTGACAGTTTTATTTTTATATTTCAAGGGGGAATGGCGGTCGCAGGTGGATTGTTTAATTGTTGTTGCTTTTGTTGTTCTTTGCGCTTTTTGTTTGGGAAAACTTTGACATTTTCATTATTTGAAAATGGCATTTTTAAGTTGAATTATTTTTATCTTATAGAAGTATTTGCAATTTTTGGCATGAATTGAGGAATTAGGAAAAGTTTGCGGAGATGCAAAGAAAGCTTTTTATGTACTTGTAAAACATTTAATGAAAAAATAAGTTAAATAACATAAATATATACATTAAGGAAGATTAAATATTATTGTAGCTCTTTTCCTATTAATTTATATCTTCAATTAAAAGCATCTTTTAAATTTTCCTTCTTTTTCTTCTATAATCTAAACCTTCTTAAACGTTTAAGTTCATAATTTAAAGGTCTCAGTTGAGAGGTAGTAATTCTTAAATAAGATATCCTTATTGTATAAGCAAAAAGCATCCTTGATGGAAATGGTGTATTTTACAAACAAATAAAACTTCTGCTCCGGCTGCAATGCCTCAAGAGTGAAAAGTCTCATATTTTCCTCTCGTTTTTCATCCCTTTCATCCATCTGATGATGACGGAAGTCCCCAAGTGACAGACAATTTTAGCGTTAACAAGAATAACAGCGCCAGACGACGAATGGAAACTTTAGCCACATGTGCACAAATATTTTTTTTTATTATTCCAACCAGTCGAGCGCTTCTTAGCCCGGTATAATAATGAATTACGTACACTGGGAAACTGAAGGAATCCGGGATTCCTGCAATCCTTGCCATCGTCATCGTCATCGTCATCATCATCAGGCTCCTACCTATGGAAACGCTCTGAGCACTCGCTTAGCTTCCTTGCCACGCTTTGTTGGCTGCAACAATTTTACAATTGACTGTTTCCACTGTACTTTTTTTTTGTTTTCTAAAGGAGATGAGGAGGGTGAGGGGGGATGAGTTGCAAGAGAAAAATGGTAGGGTAAATGGAAGAAAAAATGGGTGGGTTCGTAAAACGCTCGACTTGTTTTACGCATTATTTACTTAGTTGGGGATGCTGTGCCGCCTCATGCTCCCCAAGTACGTGTGCACGTGTTTGTATAGGTACACTGCAGGAAAAGTATTTGAACTTTTGTATATAGAAAATTTGAGGGAATTTAAATAAGACTTAGCATTAGCTTTCGGTTTATGTGAAACTTAAGGAGAAACATAAACTTTACCTTTGGGATTACTTAACCAAAAGGTTGATAATGTGTAAGATGCATAACGCGTATGAGAAATGGGAGAGAATTCGTGTCCTTTCGTTCACTCAAAAAGCGAACAGATCTAGAATACTGGAATATATGTGAAAATAAACAGATTTATGGCCTGGCAATAGAGTTCTATTTCCTTCTCTCACAGAATTTTTAACACAAATAAAGGAGAGCCATCAAAATTTAAATGCAAATAGGTATTTTATATCTCAGAAACTATGTTAATAATATCTAATTACTTCATATATTATATATATTTCTTATATTTTATAGTCAATTTAATACATTTATTTATTAAGTTGTATTACATTCTTGAATTAATCATTTTATTCCCTGTGTAGTTGTGCGTGTATACACCATGTAAATGTCTGTCTTTGTGTCTGTGTGTGTACGTTCATTCCGTGGGGTATAGGGGCGTGGCAAATGAACTAGCATTAAAGTAACTTTGCGGCAAGCAGCAAAACGTTTGGTTACAATTAATTTCGTACTCGGCAATATCCACCTTATGTCTGTGTGGAATGTCTGTGAGGCTGCCAGAGATGCGGGCAGTCGACAAAAAAGGGGGTTCATTGGGGAAGGGAAGGGTGGGTCTAATAGCCAACCAGGGGGTGGTGGATTCTCTCCTTAATGGCAGCAATTTCAAATGAAAATCGGCCCTGGAGTGCCGTTGCTGTAAAAGTATTTTGCGGGTATTTTCCCCTTTTGCAACCTGAAAGCAAATGAAGGGTAAAAGCAGATCGAAATTCCGTCATTAACAAAAGAATTCCGCCAAAAGCATTATAAAGCTAACGACAACGAAATTACACGCATATTCAAAAGAAGATTTTTAAATGCCGGAGACATAAAGCCAAAAATGGGGCAATAAAAATGTATCTTAAATGCGTTTGGGAAACGTGTAATGTCCCAGGAAAATTTCCAAGATAAAGGTATATAAGAGGAAATGACAGCAAACTCATCTTTATGTATTTTATGTTGATATTTAATACCCAGAACTTACTTGATCGGATTGTTTGCGAAACGCAAAGACAAAATCCCCCTTATGATGTTATTTGTGGCAAAAGCAGAAGCAAAACTCACAGAAATACACGCACGAAAGACCACTATACTCCTTTTTGGCACAAGATGATGCTAAATGACAGGCGGCTTATGCAACATTTATTTGATATTGTGTTAAATATTTAACGTAGGACACGATAAAACACTTTTGCCTCATTAATCCAACGCACATAAACACACACACACACAGATACACAAGACGAGGAGGAGAAACTGCTAATTGAAGCCGGCACGAAAGGACACACACTGAGTCCCCAAAGGACGTGTAAGCCTAAAGCCTTTAGGCAATGATTGATACGGATGGCCCAAGGAATTTTCGAAGGGATCTTTGTGTTTTTTTTTTATCCGAGTTTCCTTTTTTTCTTTTTATTTATTTTATTTTATACGAAAGTTACGCGATCCGATATGAGCGATGAGCAAAAGCTTTGTTCGTCCACACGTTAGCACTTTCGAAGGGAGACTGAAGGCCCAAACGCCAGTAAGTATGCAGCAGCCGCTGTGTATAACAGTATAACGCTTTTTCATGTGCGTAAGAGAGCCAAAATGTGAGAGAAAAAAATGGGGAGAAAAAGCAGAAGCAGAAGCAGTAGCACAAGCATCTACAGCAGCTCTTTAGGATAATATTACCTGATGGAAGTCGAAATAAAATTTGGTTTAATGGATGCCAGCCCAGTACGACGACCTTGATGTGTTTCGGGCATCATCATCAGCATAAACTTGGCCAACTATTTAACCACGAAAAACATATGTGTGTGTTAAGCCAAATCGCAAAAATAGTGCCTAGCAAAAACACTTTTGCCAAATTGCCCAAACGAATTCACACGATTTATTTTTATTGCCAGACCCACAGAATTTTATGCCTGGCAACGATTATGATTATTTACTTGGTGTATTTTTGGGCGTTTGGTTACATAATTAGGCCATTAAATATAAGTGCCTGTATCTGTGATTTTCCTTCAACATCAACAGATACAGCAGCAACATCACAAATCGATCAAGATGGTAAACAAATTCCGTCTGTGACAACGGACGCATTTCCAATTTTAAATGAAAGACAGAAAAATGGCTATAAAGAAATGTATTTCAGCGGCAAACTTGGCCGGAAAACGTAATTGAATTTTTATTGACATTCTAGTGGAAGCGGATGGGGGACTGTGCCACTTGAGCGACAGACAGACCGAGATACAGAGTTGCCTGGTGAAATATAAAGCGCAACTATTTTGCACAAAATGACCAGAGAGCTTGGTCTTCGAAGGAGGTAAAGTGGGAGCTTGGAAAAGGACTAAGGAAGAGCAAGGAAAAATAAAGATACTTAAAATTAATTTCGTTTTTTTAAGGCGTCTTTAAGGGAGGGGATTTGGTCTCGGGATTTGCCAAGAATAACCTAATTAGGGTTGACTTAAAGCAGCCTAGAGGAGGGTTTCGAGTAGATTAATCTGGCAGAAGGCCAAGAGGGTATTTTTTAAAAATAGCTACTTTAAAGGGAATAAATAAAAAAAGGGGTAAGAAGTACAGTTTAACAAGAAAGGAAGTAAGCTTTGAGAACCCAAAGTGTTGTAGGTATATTAATTAAATCAAAATTTTTGTATGCCAATTTTTTGTCAAAATCAGAGTTTTTCAAATATCATAACTAAGTCAAAAATGCATTAATTTCAATTCGGAAAGATGTTCTGTGCTTGTTTTAATAAGGCTAAAAATTCTGCATACTGAGTTTTAAAATTAAGGAAATTTAAAATTTTGTCAAATTTTGACCATTTAAAAGTATAAAATTTAGTCATAAAATATCGAAAATAAATTCGAAAAAATTGTTTTCTCCCAAACATGGCTAGATCGATTTGGCTGTTCATGCTGATCAAGAATATATATGGTTTAGTGGGTCGGAAATGACTTCTTCACCATGTTTCAAGCTTCTGACTAAAATTATAATACCCTGCAAGAGTATAAAAATGTGACTTTGGGATTTGTTTAGACATCAATTATTATTTATAGAGAGATACTTTTTCTAATAGTTTTGTTTATTGGTGTGAACTCTATATAGTCCTATTTGGATCATAAAATATTAAATATCTATGCATATAATAACTTTAAAATAAGAAGAATGAAATAAAATCATAAAAACTTAGTTAATGTATAGTATACATTTTATTCTTTCCTCTTTTCCACATATTTAAATCCATTAATTAGTAACAAAAAAGTATTTAACACAATTTGAAATATTATTAAAAGACAAGACATTGTCTATTAAACATTATTACTTCCTCATTTATAATTCTAATTTATTTGTGTAATTGATTTGTTGCTGTTTATTTTGCCACCCTATCTTTAGTAATGCTTCTACTTCATAGCATATTTATGGCCATAATTGTTTTTCTATATTTCTAATTACCCGCCAATCTGAAGCTGAAAATCTGTTTTGCCAATTAAACAGCATCCCGAGTGATACTTTGTCATGACTATCTAGCCCATCCACAATATGCAACTATTATCATTTAGTGCCCCCAAAGCGATTTGCTCATTACCAAGAGCAGAGCAACGCTTCAGTCCCTTTTTGGTCATTAAATTATTTTATATGGCACATTAAAACCAAACGTTCTCTGTGATATATACATATATATATATATATATATATATAGATATAATATATATATACTATAGTATATAGTATGCATTGCATTTGGTGAGGGGTCATAAGCCAAAGTAGGGGGTGTCCGAGTGGCAGGTTCTATTTGCTATTATTATCATAGTCGGAGTGCTTGAGCTGTTATTATTGCCACGAATGTGTGTGTTTGTCACACTTTTAAGCAATTATTTAAAGCACACACACCCAACACGGAGAGATGAGAGAAATGAGGAGAAATTCCAGTCTCACTTTCTCCACGGGGAAGCAAAGCCGCTGAGATTTCAATTTAAAAACCAGGCCAAACCCGGTGGACAAAGCAGGGAAATGGGCATTTTCGCGCAGCACACATGTGACCGCTAGTTGTTATGCCAGCACAGCAGGTTTTCTCAGGCACTAAGGGAAAAATTAAGGTTTTATATTTGTTAGTTTGAAATATGTTAATTAACAAAATTTGTGTAGTTTAAATCTAGATAAAAGTTCTTTTAATCATAATTAGGTGACAAATATACCTATTATCTATCTCGCTCTTGCTCTCCCTGGAAGGTTAAAAACTTGGCTAAATTGTATTAATTGTTATTAATTTGTATCGATTATTATTATTATATATATTATTTCTTTATAAGCCTTTATCTCGACTCCTCTGCTTACACTTCCTTTCTTTCCTTTTCATCTTTCTTTTCCTGGTGAAACTTGTCCAATAAAAGATTTGTACTTGTTTGAACTTCTGCAATGAAATATAAACAAATTTCTTAGTAATTTTTTTCAGTGCATTGACATGCACCTCTGCGAGATAAAGTTTTCGCTTCAGTTTGTTGATTGCCTTGTGTATGTGTGTATTTATGTTTGTCGACGAGAGATGCTCACATATTTATTTACAATTTAAATGCAGAGAGAAAGCTTTGTACTGCCCTTTCGTTTTGCACCTGTCACCATCGGTTTTATGTCCCTTTAATTGCCGCAATCAATTGTCGACAATCAAAGGTTAAAAGTTTAATTCATTACCAGAGCTTTGCAGTCTATTTATCAGGAGACACTGGATGCCGTCGAAAGCAAGTGATTCCTTGGGGTCCTTCCTGAACAGTTTTAGTTCTTGATCCTTATCGATACTTGGGGTTATCCTTTTGGTGCTTTTAATGGGAGGTGACCAATCAAAGTGAGAAGTATATATATCATTCATAAGGTTATGCCACTCCAGTTTTCGACGAAGAGCCTGAACCATTTGCTGTTGTCTTCGACAATTCTGATTGTTCTCATTGATGTCCAATATGTCATCTATTTCTTTATAGGGTGAAGTTGGGTTTTGATTATTTTCAAGAGCTTCCTTTAATTTATGTTCTATTTGATCCATTTTCTCATGTACTTGAGCCTGAAGTCTGTTCAGGTTATAGTGTGTTATTATGCACTCCAAAATAATTGCAACTTGTGGCTCTGAATGTCTCATATAATTATCACACTCAGGCTTAGTCATTTTCGACTCGCTGTCAACCAAAACCACAAGGTGGAGCAGGCCCAGAACAAGCCACATCTTCTAGGCAAAGTGTACAATGAACTAACAGTTTCTTATCAAAGAAACATCGAACATTGGCTTCAGTTTCTTGTTAATTGATTTTGAACACAAAGTGGGAGAGAGAGAGAGAGAGAGGGAAGTGTAGAAAATTAAATGTATACGAGCGATGGATGCTGTGCCAAGTTTGAAAACAGGGCCATAAATTTTCAGTTGGCACTTGTGGGGCGGCACTGGCTGGAAACTTTCGTGGAAAAACTTGCAGCTCATCCGGCATCCGCTTCCTTTGTGGCCTCATTTGCTGCCAACAGCGGGGCAAGCCATAAATAATCCATACAAATTAACGCAGCCAACGTGCACGAAGGAGCAAGCCCAAGCCCCAAAATCCTAAAAACCGAAAACCGCGAGATGCTCAAAAAAAAAGAAGAGAAAATATATATAACAGTTTAATCAACACCAGTAGCTAAGCATTATATATATATGTATATTTTCCTATAAAAAAGTAGAGCTTAAGCTCTCAACCCTCAACCATTTTCGGGGCTTCTTCGCTGGGTAAGCAAAATTTATTGTTTGCGGAAGTTGTCTTTAATGGCGCTTGAGCAGCCACACCCACCGCGATTCACCATCCGACCATGGCAGCTGCACCCCCTCTATCCCCACCCCTGGGACAGTTGTGGCGTCCGCATTTAGTTGACCTTCAGCTGCAAATAATTTCAACTCATTGAGCTTAATGTCCTGTGCCTTAGGGGGCGTGCCTGGGCCATTTGTAGAGGCTCGGGTTTTTATCTGGCACGTGGTTACAGTGCGTTTCATAGTGATAACACTTGTAGATAATACGGTTATTGAAAGAGAAATGAGTTAAACTGATTTTTTATATATAGTTGAAAGAATATTCAAAATTTATAAATAATCTTTGGCATAAAAATTGTTGAATAATATTTATTTTATATAAAAAACATCCAATCTCTTTTTGGAATTTTGAATTCCATATGATTTTTAATACAAAAATTGTAGATCAATTATTTTTTTATATAAAAGTATACTTAATAAAAATGAATTGTATTTTGTAAATTACTTTTTCTTCTAAAATAATTTTAATTTACATTAGTACGATAATATATTATAGCTTATAATATTTTGTTCTTTATGGTTTATATAGGTTTATTATACGAAATTTTATGTGATATTTCTTTAACTT